TGCACTTTTTTATTACCTTAACAGCACTTCGCAAGACCTGTGGGGCCTCTCAGGCTTCACACAAAGAAATAGTGTGAAACAATGCACTCATCATGAAAGAATATAGTGATGTAGGATATCAAATTCAACAGCAGAACCTGGGCTACAAGAATATATCCGCCATTTTTACATGCCCCAAACACAACTCAAACACCAGCTAAATGAATGATCAAATATGAAATCGATATAGCGCCACCCAGTCAACCCACTCGCCACATTTCTGGCTCTGTCGCTTTGGTACTTCATGCAAAACGCACCAACAACCCCTCAAACAAAAGCAGACAATCCACAGATAACAAACATGTCCCTCAAAACTCCCTGAAATCAAAGCGTCAGCGAGAAATAACCCAAAGAACAGCAAAAACCGAAATCGCTTCATCAAACTGTAGTTGTAGCGTTTCTCTTACCTTAGCTGTTTTGCCATGAAAAGTTTATATTATCGGTAAATCCACACCGGAACCAGTTAGCACTTCCTGTGTTACACTGAAATCACTCCGGGCGTCTTTTGGAGGCTTCGTTAGCCGAAGGGAGCTAAGTAGTGAACACCATACATATATATAATAAAGGCCTTTATGGTGAACACCTGCTCAGCAAGCGGCTTGTCTGCAAGATGGCGTTNACATGAAACAATGATTTTATTACACTGCAGTTATCGTTTGCCTATGAAGGAAACCCAACAAACGTGTACTTGTTAGATTTTTCCAGAACAGTTTGTGACAGGAATGTTCATCTGCTGCACTCCATAACTTGAAAAAAAAAGATGATTATTGACAAAATGTCACCAGAGAGAAGGTGCTAATGACAGTTCTTCTATCAGCAGATTGTCTTCACAGTTTAAGGAACAAGGAAATAAAAAATCTCATGTGGGATTTTTTTTTAAAAAAGGGCTGCAGAGACATCAAGATTTATATTGTCAAGAGGTATTAAAATAAATTACTGTGCCGGTAAAATGTTTGTACACACCTTATTATTCATAACACACAAGCATGGATTCATGTGGAAAGCAGAAAAAGTATTAGATCGAAGCTAAATACGTTTGAGATTTTAAAGAAGTTAAAATGTTCTGCACTGAATGATCATTGTGTCTTTAAATATTGATGGACGGTTGTTTCTCTTTACTTAGTGAAGCAGTTCTTGCCATGATGTGGTTTCCTGCAAAAATCTAACCAAAATGCCAACACAAGCTCAAAACAACAGAAGAGAGGATGTGAGACACCTTAAGAATACAAAAAATTCTCAAAATTCAAATAAGTAATTGTACACTTTTTTGTTAAATACATTAAAAAAATAAATTAAAAAAAAAAATCTGAAGTCTTTGGTCTTGTTCTTCAAGGTTAAAAGGGGGAAAATATGGAAAGTAATGTATATAGCATAAAGTAATGTTTAATTTCACTAACAGACAGTAAACAAGCCCTAATCGTCTTCTGCAATTTGTAAAACAAAGCTATGAATTATTCTGGAACTATGTGAAAAGATTTGTTTCAAAATGCTGTATACTTTGATTTACTGTGAGTCTGTTTTTTTTAGCTGGGGCTGCAAGGTGGCTCAGTGGTGCCTCGCAGCAAGAAGGTCGGCGGTTTGTGTCCCGGTCAGGACACCCGGGATCTTTCTGCATGGAGTGCATGTTCTTCCTGTGCAGCGTGGGTTCTCTCCCACACAGTCCAGAAACATGTTGAGGTTAATTGGTGATTCTTAATTGTCTGTAGGTATGAATGTGAGTGTGCTTGGTTGTCTGTCTCTAAGTGTAGCCCTGTGATAGACTGGTGACCTGTCCAGGGTGTCTCCTGCCTTC